TTTTTTTTTTTTTCCTTCTGATATTTTAGCTGAGCAGACTGAATTTGTGTGGTTGGAGGTCTGGATTTTTCTTACTGCAAAACAAAAGAAATGAAAAATATAACAAACTCTGACATGCTAAGTAGTGAAAGACCAAAACAGGATAGGGGAGGAAATAGGTTTGTTGTTTTAAAAATGTATGTTTGTTATGTAGTTTTGATAAAAAAAAAAAAAAAAAAAAAAAAAAAAAAAAAAAAAGAGAACAAAATGCGATTTTCATTCTACCCCAAAACCTACATGTGTGTACAATACCAATGGCTTGCTTACTTCAGATACTGCCTGGTGCTGGGCCTCAATATTTTACTTACAAGTAAGTGGTTGCATAAATATTTTTAATATTTTTAGCACAAAAACAATGAGGACAGAGCAACTTAAGGCACAATAAACCATATAAAATTAGTGCAAATCAATAGATATTTATAGATACAGTATCTGCATGATATAATTAAATGTGCAGGTAACATTTTTTCCAGTTCTAGGCTGTATTTAAAGAGATTGTTAAGGTTGGCAGAAAAGAAAAACATTTATCTCCGATACTTATGTGCAAAGTCCTTTTTAATCCTAGCTGATCTAGGATATTAAGAGAACCTCATCATCACAGTAACAGCAAATGGTCTGTGTTAATCAATCAGCTCCAGCAGGAGCTGCCCTTACCCCTCCTGGATGCAACACACAGCCCCACCGTCACAGGGAGCCCCTCTCAGGTGCACCAGTTACAGCACTCCCTGTACTCAGTGGTCCTTCAGCACGGGCTTTTTGCTAAGCCTCCGTCAAGATGAGACTTCACATTGCCAAGGAATGCTATTCATTAACGATTTTGAAAATACTTTGCAAAAATCAGGGTCTAATCACCTAGGATTTTACACTGCAATTCCTTTATCCGCTGTAATTTGCACTTGAAACAGTTTTGATTTGGGCCAAATCTTGTTGGTATGAAAGGACAGGATGTCTGAGGCGTTATTCTGCGTCCTTCTCCAAGTCAGAGTGCAAAAGAAACAAAACCAGCTTTCAAGAAAAGGATCCCAGAGTACACCTTCTCACCTATAGCTAAATGAGCAGCTCTTTCTATAGAAAAAAACCCAGCATTTTTATGAGCAAATACTTCCCTTTTGCTAAAAATAAATCAACAGAAAACCTGCACAAAAATTGCTCCTGACTTGCTTGCTTGGTCAGTGAGAAATGGGAGGGTGAAACCCTCCAGTCCTCCCATGGAGGTTTAGGCGTTCCCGCAGGCTGGGAAGGGAATTTCACATGCAGAGCTTCAGGGGCTGAGAAGTCCTGGCATTGTCTATCCTACACCTCAAATCTTAAATTTACGACAGAAGAAGCGTTTCCCCCTTCCTAAACAGAGGCATCGCAGAGCTGATTTTAAAACCTTCGTGCATTGAGAACTAGTATATGGTGCGTTTTTAAAAGCATTCAGGAGTGACACTACAGCAGCCATCCTACACAGAGCCGGCAGGAGAAAGCAGAGGAGCCCAGCCTTCGTGTCAAGACTCACTGTGGAGGCCCGCCTGGCCAGGACTCCCAGTAGTGGCAAATTTCTAGACACGAGAATGTTACAGGACAGAAGAGCCCAGTGGTGGGACCATGACTGCTCCTGAGCCCACAGAGGCCACTTCACTGTTAGCAACCCAGCTAAGAACTCACTGGTGCTTGGGAATATCTTCATATTTGGTCCTCTCAACTGTGAGAAGGCAGAGCCCACCTCCAATATCTCTGCTAGGCCTGCAGCTATTTTGTTACACCCTGCCCCTCTCCCCCTGGGCTATCTGGGGGCCAGCATCCTCTGGACGAGTCGGTCTCACTGCCCTGGAGCTCCCTGTGGCCCAGCAACTGAACGATGGAATTTAAATACCCCTGTGCTGGTCCACCAGTTCGTATTTCTGAGGCAGTTCATATTCAAATAGAGAGTCATTAGAAGACTTGCACGTTAAGGGGCAGTAGACCCCATACCTGGTCAAGCACCCAAACAAAACAAACAGGTTAAATGGGCTTTGGAAATGCGCTTGATAAAAACGCCCCTCACACAAGCTTTGGTACGAAGAGCACCAGGCAGTCCACCAGGCAGTCCGTAGATATGGTGCATTACAGGCACGGAAACACTCCTCATAGTGATACTTGTGCACAAAAGGTTCATGGGAGGTGAAATTCCCTCCTGCCTCTGTTTTCCTTTTGTGGAAATGAGGGTATGGGAGGAGAGGAAGGGAAAGGTGGGGTAGCCCATGTTGGACTTCACCCCAGTGTGGCATTAGGGCACCCAGGCAAGAAACTCCTGTCCTCTGCACTCAGAAATATGCCCAGGGTCCAGAGACTGGACGTACCCAGAGAGTCGCTGTGAGGGTGAATGCCACCTCCTGCGGTGTGCACACAATCACGCACAAACACACGCACATAGACCAATACACATGCGAAGCTGGTCCAGGATGCGTCCACGGGGCTCTTGACTAATGAGCAGCGTGAATCTTCATGTGGAAATGGTAATCCTCCTGCTCCGGGAAGTGCTGGCCGCACACCGAGCAAGTGCAGCCCTTCTCCTTGCTGTGCGTGCGGCGCACGTGGCTGTCGTGGGCTGCGTGCGAGGCGAAGGCTTTGCCGCAGTGCTTGCACTTGAAGGGCTTCTCCCCCGAGTGCTGGCGGATGTGAGTGCGCAGGATGCTGGATGCCGTGAATGCCTGAAAGGGCAGGGGTCGGAAAGGGGGGAGGAGTTGCAAGTAATCTATTTTCATATACATAATCCCCAGGTTCAGCTAACCCAGGCCCCGTCAGAAGCACCGTACCCTGAAAAGAAGTCCTCAAATAGCTCACACCCTCAGGTAAGTGGAGAAAAAACAAAAACTCCCAGCAATGAGGAACCAGAAGCCAACAGCTATTGCACTCAGCTATACAGGTATGGCTGAGCCCATGGATTTAGATGAAGCTCAGAGAAAGATTTCTGACCAGAGACACCAGTAAATATCTTCTACATGTCAAAGGATAAGAAGTCAATACTGTCCTAATTAGCTTTGCAGCTCCTTCATGTTTGTGAGACATAATGCAGGTTCATTTTCAGAGTTAAACCCTTTCATGTTTACATACACTCGCTTGGGATTTAGCTGCCAGAATTCATCCATGCCGTCAGTCCGGCATCCACCTTTTCACGTTTCATTTTCCCCCTCCATCATACTTTGCTCTTCCTTCAGTCAGACATTCCAGCCTGTTTTCCTCCCCCACGAGTAGCAAAATGTACACAATCACACTTTGTCCCCCTCATAGAGACTCCTGCTGCCTTTGGGGAGAAAACCCCCCTCGCCAAGACTTGAGCAGGA